GCAGCGTTTTTTCAGCTGACTGTGGTTGGTCAGAGGTAACGAACCGCAAAGATCAGTGCAAACTGCAGCTACGGTATCTATGACGACCACCTGAATACAGCTAAAAAGCTCTTAATAATTCACATTACAATATGTTTACATCGGACAAACTGCACACAAACTGGCGTAAGGGGGGTGGAACCAAAGAAACTGTGAAGGGGGTGTAAGGAGGGGAGAGAGAGGAAGAGAGAGAGCAAGAGATGAAGAAGGAGATTGAGTGGAAACGATGCCATTAGCCCGGAAGAGCTCGGCTCAACACGCATCGACAGCTATCCAAACCCCCCCCCCACAGCTCTCCCTCTTGGTCAAAGGGCTCATTTGGCTCCACTGACTATAAACAATGCTCTAAACAAACCAAATAAACGCTAAAAAGTAAGTGCTCCCTCCCCCCCCCCCCTCCTCTCCTCTCCAATCTTCCCTGCGCTCCTCCATCTCCCTGTCATATGCGCTCAACTCCCATTTAATGTCCTGCAAATGAAGCGGATTTATTAATGTGTAATTAAGTAATAATCATCACTACATAATGCATGAGAGACTCAAGGGGCTGAGAGCTGAGAGAGAGAGAGGGGGAGAGATAGGATAGCGAGGCTGCCGGAGCAGACAGAGAGGGAGATTTTTGCTGCCTCGCCTCGCTAAAGACACACATTAAAAACGGATTAATCCACTGAAATAATATTTTGATAAGAGCTGCGCTGTCTCATTTCTTCCTCCTGCTCGCTCCTCCCTCCTCCCTCCTCTCACCCCCGTCAGCTAATTTCATGGCCCATCATCGCGCCATTAGTCCGCGTTCAATTAACAGGCTGCAATTAGTCAAGCCCCCCCTCTGTTAACAAGGTCTAATCACTGTAAAGGCTAGACTGGTCAAGTAAGTCTATCAGAGGAAGGTAGTGGCAGCGATATGAAGACCCAGACCTTTCTGTGGCCTGGCTGCTTGATTAGACTGGAATATCAAAGAATAGAACTCCATTATAATACTGTCACTGGTGTAAGATTGTAAATACATTGATATTCGGTTCAAGACATTGAAATATTTTCTTATTTGAATTATTTAAAATTAGGTTGCAGGTTTAAGAAAACTACAATCCAAATGGCAGCTGTGCAGTACGACATATGCAGCCTGTACTGACTGTACACCAAAATGATATTATTTGTTCATGCTGCCAAACATAATAAATAAAATACGACAGAGAAAGTGGAAAAAAAAAAACAAGAGATTTACAGAAAATTCACAAACATGGATTAATATCACTTTCACCCATCAGTTGTTCACATTGCTTTATAAAATATATACACATACACTCGGCCTATATTACAGCATTTTGTTTGTCTTTTGTTTTTAAAGTTTACAGCTGTATCTCGCAAAGAAGCCTAGTAAGTATGTATGAGTGTTAAAAATGATTTTTAAAAATACAAAACAGACAGAATTATATAAAAAGTTCTTTAAAACATCAGGAAAATGCTTTTCTGATGCAATATTCACAGGAAATAAGCTCCTTTTACACAAAGCTTCCCACAGTCCGCTATTTGGGTTAAATGTACAGTTTATCAGTTGTTATTGTTACTTATTGAATATATTGTGAAATATCCATACAATATGTCCCTATGTCAGTTTACTTTATGATAGAAAGGGGGTCCTGTATGGAAAAAGGTTGACAACCACTAATCTAGTGCTGTTCATGCCCTTAATGTCACACTGTAAACAATAAAATGTTATTTTTACAGTAAAAAACTAGCAGCTGTGTTTGCCAGAACTTTAACATAATAAATATGGTATTATTTTACAGTTACAGTTGGAGTTTTAGTCCATATTTTACTGTAAAAATACATGCAAACTGCAATAAGCAAATTACAGTCGGTAAAACTGACTTTATTCCACTTAAATTCCTTTAAAATAGTGTATAAATCAAGGTTTTGCCTTTAGATATGATGGTGTTTCACTGTTACAGAAGCTGTATTTAACCTATTTAGAGGCCTTTTATAATAATGGTTTAACAGTTTGACATTTTTTATAGTGCACGCTCGACATACATATAAACAGCGATATAACACTTGTTACTGGTAGCAATGCAAAGCAGTAAAGGCCCCTTTAAACCACCAGAATGATGAATACGGGGGTCGTAGGCGACTGTATCACCCAGTGTGTGAGCGCAGACACTCAGCAAAGTGACAATAAACGCTCCCCCTATCTGCCATCAGCTATGAATTTCATTTCCACACAGAAACAGTCCTTTCCAGGAACCGGGCCGCTCTAACGCAGGAGATGGATGAGGGGGGACTTTGTTATTGTTTTTGGCGTGCCTGTATGCCAGTAAGTCCAGCCAGCCAGTCAGAGTTGGGTGAGCAGGTGAAAGACAGAAGAACATGAAAACACAGATAATCCCTCGGCGATGCTCACCTCGTCCTGGCCTCCACCGCTCGCTCGCTCCCTCCCTCCCTCCTCCTCCTCCTCCTCCCCTGCCCACTCACCTGCTGTGTGCCTCTGCGCTGCCCCCAAACGCCCCCTCCTCTCTATCCCCTTTACCCTTCAACCCCTCTTTCTCCTCCATCTCTATCTCTCACTCTTTCTCTCTTTCTCTCTCTCTTTCTACTCCATCCCTCTCTCCATCTTCCCCCAATGCCAGGTCTTGCCAAGCTGTCAGTGGGGCAAGGTGTGGAGGGGAGATAGCATGTACACACACAGATGCCTGAGTACACATACACAAAACACATGGTGCTTACGCAAGCTAGACTACAAGGGCTGTGCTACCTTTGCTGCACACACACACACACACACACACACACACACACACACACGAGAGAGAGTGGTGGTCGTCCTCCTCTGCTTTGCCTCGCTCTGCTTCGCTTGGCTGCCTGACTAAAGCTAAGCTCTGGTTATCCAGGCTGCTGAGACCAGGCTGCCTCAGTGACACAGGCACACAAGGTGTGCGTGTCTGCGACGCATCCAAACACAAGGATGTAGATCTGTGCAAACACAGGCGCACACACACACACACTGACCGAGCGATGACAGAGCAGCGGTGGACAGATTCACCGGTCCGCAGCAGCTGCACCGAGCGTTACAGCACGGGGGGGGGGAATAACAACCACCTCTAACACATACTGATTAAATACAAATCAATAGATATTAATACAGTATCCACACAAATGCTACAACAATAACTTGATAGTCGATTCACAGTCAAATAATATCAGGGCTCTTTTAGTCATCTGTCATTTGTACATGTGAACATCCATCAACAGATTTACAGCTTGTTTTGTTCTTTATAACAGTAACGGATATTCTAACCCAAGACCACAAATAAGATGTACACACGAGAACAGTCTCCAACTTAACAGATTCTAAAACAAGTCATATTCATAATTTCCACTTTATAGACACAATATCCATTTAAAGCATCATCATCATCAATTCTCTGATGCTCTGAGCTAATTTAATTCATTTTTTCTTATGTTTATTTTCTTTTGATACACAATTCTCTTTCAAGTGTTGATATTTATATGTACTACTGTTCCTGTTCATCTCTGACAACTTGCTGCTGTGACAAAAGAATTCGATAGAAAAAGAACTTCTATCTATCTATTAAGGACAGTTACTGACTACCAAGGGCCCGGTCAGTTTTGGTTTATAATGACGGGCTGTATGTACCAGCTGCACCGTTAACTGAAATATTATCACAGTATGGCCAAGTGCAATATCCAAATCGGCGAAGCACAATCATATCGCGATATCTGTCAAAATACGATGTTTGTACCGTATGGTGCAGAATAATCCCTAATAAGAGACACATCCCTGTTAGACTGCCTTACAGCCCACAGTAACAGATATTAAAACCACAAGCAAACACACACACACACACACACTTGCAGCACTTCGTGTGTGGCTTGCGAGCAGCCTCTCCTTGCAATTGATGAACTGAATCCCACCCAGCCTCAGACGAAACAGGCTTAACTTCACAACCTGAAATCCTCCTCCAATGAGAGTCACGCTGCTAATCAAAGTGAACACCCAGTCTGAACCGCTGTCTCGGCTCCCCAGGCAGCCACAGAAAGGGAAAGCCTATATGGTGGAAGGAAATGGGGGGGGTGAGGGTGGGGGGGGGTGGCAACCACATGGTCAGCCCATCCCGTTGCCCATCTGGGTCCCATAAAGGAAACATGGAGGCCAAGGCCACCACATGCCCTCATGCATGATGCCCACTCACCCATGCACTGCAATGAATACCATTTTATGGTAAAGGAAAAGAGGAACTGAGGCTTCCTTCAGGAGAAGTAATTTACAACAATTTAAATTTAAAATCTGGACTTTCTGGTCTGGAGGAAACTTAAATTAAATGAATCTGTAAATTACTAGATTATATATTCAAAGTGTAGAAGAAAGGCATGAGAAAAGGAAAATATTCTAACATCTAAAATTAAACACATTCATGTCCAGCAGAGCTCTGCAGGTGCTTCAACACTTCCAGGTTTAAATCAGAGTTTTTAAACATTAAAACAGGAGTGAGTATAAAGACATCCAATGTCCGGGGGCTGGGTGACTCCATTTGGGGTCAAACGGTCAAATTTACACAACAACAAAGCACAACATGGGAATAATCCAGATTAACCGAGTGAATTACGAGTTGATCCAAAAAGCACAACCCACGCTGTCAGGGGGAAGAAAGAAAAAAAAAAAAAAGAAACGATACACAAGAGTCTCATCTTTCAAGTAGTGACAGTGTGGCAGCTAATTGAAAACAATTAGCGTGTAGTGGACACAGCAATGCGACCGCAGCTCCTTTCCCACAGTGATGGCCTCTTTTATCTGGAATTTTGGAATTTAAAAATCTAATCTTTAAAAAGGCAATTAGCAGCCAAAGTGAGCAAACACACTGATTTACCTTCATGCAGACCTTTAAGAGTTTGGATGTGAAATGTTGGACTCCTGTCCGCTCACATGAGCCTCAAAATAAACTGTTTCTTACCTTTAACGGAGCGCGGTTTGGCCTGTTTCCGTCTGGACATCTCTGGTTGTCGAACTGTTGTTGTTGTTGTTTGTGTGTGTGTGTGTTAGTTTTTTCTTTAATCTTTATTTCTCTAATTGTTTTTGTTTTTTTTGTTCCGTTCCGTGTTTTCAGCTAACCATACAGGCGGCGGACACGGTCGGGTTTTATCTGTCCTCCTCCTCCACCACCACTTCGCTGCTGCTTCTTCGCCTGTTGCAATGCGGCAGCTTCAGTCTCTGAGTGGGGGGGGGAAAGCGGCCGTTAGTCCGGCGACAGCAAACCCGAACACACCGGGAGTGAAGCGGGCTCGGAGGCGACGCTCGGCTCCTCCGGTGCGTTATTCTTCTCCAACGGTCGCGCAACCTGTAGAATAAAACGGCAACAACTTCCCGGTTGGTATTCCCTTCCTCTCCGTTGTCGCGACGCCTCGCTCTCTTTTCTTTTCTTGTTTCTTCTTTTTTTGTTTTTTATGTTTGGGGGGGGGTGTTCTTCTCCTCTTCTCCTCTTCTCCTCTTCTCTCCGCTTTTTTTTTTTTTTTTTGCTTGCTTCACTCGTGCCGCTCCGACTCCTGCAGCCAGCGCGTTAGTGGCGGACCGGGGTCGCGAGCTGCCAGCCACGCGCGCGGCAAACACCTGAGCAGGTCCCGCGCGGTGTCGAGGAGGAGAAGAAGTGACAGCGGGCACCGTCCGAGCGCGCGAGGCGGAGGTGCCACGGCGGTGCGCGAGGGTCCAGGTGATGAGAGGCGACCGAGAATGTTCTGGGAAATTGCTTTCAAAACGAAAACGTGGCTTCTTCTTCTTCCTCTTCTTCCTCTTCTTCCTCTTCTCCCCCCTCTGCGCGCGCTCCTCGCGTCTTCGCCGGGGCTTATTTAGTTTATCGAAACTATTTCAGTCTGTTTTTTGTTTTTCTTTTCCCTCCAGGAGAGCGGCACCGACCCGAACCGACCAGTGTTCCGTCCCGCTATTCTACACTAGGCAGTGGTGGTCTGGTGGCAATGCATGGACATTGCGCTCTTCCCCTGCATCTCCACCCCGAGGGGAATACTTGCTTTTACTACCCACGCTTTCTTTTTTTGTTAATATTTCTCAATGCCCCACCGGCGGTATTAATAGCAGCCTAATATTTCTACCAATCTAACCCTTCGCTAGCCTCTGTCTCCCTGCTTTTTCTTTGTCCTGACTCTGGCTACCAGTCTCCCTCCTCCTCCTCTGCCTGCCTCTGCTGGCGGGGCTGCGGCGCAGACACACATAATAAAGCCAAGGCAGGCAGTGCTTGGCTGGAAATGTAGCCGCGTCCCAGCAGGGGGATGTGAGAGAAGGGTCCCGGCGGGGGAGCGCTCTGATCCCGCAGGGAGCAGCTCGGCACAGCCCGGGTTGGCTGAGGCAGAGAGGCAGGAGAGAGAGGCAGGCTGGGCTGACAGGAGAGAGAGAGAGAGAGAGAGGGGAAGGCAGAGGGGAGAGTAAGGCAACAGCGCCTAGCTGTGGCCGACCGACGCAACTACAACAGGGGCTCTGAGAATACAGAGGAAGGAGGCAGAGGGAAAATATGGACTTGGATTAAAGTGGGATGTGGAAGAGGTTCAGTACGTGAGTTTGACAAACAGGATGGATTGGATGCAATGTCACCAGGTGCTGAGGGTATAAAGTGTTAACCACAGCAGTGACAGTGCTTTAAACATTTCTGTTGGCTCCCTGCATTTAATATCAGGCCCCTCTCTGCTGTGGCTTCACTCCAGAGCCCGATAACAGCAGAGCCCCAGAGCCCTCGTCAGCTCCCCCCTTTACCTCTACGTAGAGATGCTATGCTACATGTTATATGCTATAATAATTGTTTTTGTTACCTTAGAATGAGACGTTTGTTCAGTTCACAGCTCCATGCCTCTAAATCCTACACACTGCCCCTTTAAGTTAGCTAATGTTAACAAAAGGCTGAATAGATATAATATATAATTTGGCTACAGGCCACTGCAAGCTGTGACAGTATTTCTTTTTATGGTATTATATTAGTTATTAATATTCAAATATGTTTATTGAGTTTCACTTATGTTGAAGGCTGCAATCACAAAAGTGCTCAATACTCCAAAATAAGATATTATAAAAACAGCAAATTATTGCCATTTGTATGAAAATACACATATAGATGGACACAGTGGCATATACCTTTTATTCTAATTAAAGAATATCAGCAGGTAAGGCAGAGAATGCTATAGGCTCTGCCTGGTGAGTTGTTATTGGCGTTTCCTGCAGGACTACACCAAACAGTGCAGTCAGTGGGTCAGGATCAATAACAGCATCAAAAAGCATCATTAGAATCAGAATCTCCAAAATAAGACATGGCAGTGGATAAAAAAAAATACCATGTTATGCATGGACAGAGGAAACTGCTTCATTCGGGTAAAGGCACTGTCGATCTCTTTTGGCTCGCTCTTAATATCGCTCAATATTTTCACACCAGTAGTTGATTTAAACACATTTCCTGAAATTACCTTTTCCCAGCTGCTTCATGGAAATTCAAAAGAAATGTGTGCAACATACCTACAGTGGAGTCATGTCCTCTGTAATTCTTTCCACAATCTAAGGTCAATAAAAGGTAGACTTTTTGTGGGGCACGCCTTCAGTAAAGAGTTAAAAGAGTCCAAATTTGACCTTTTAGACAGCAGCTGTGGTCAGCATGAGTCACTATGAGAGCTGCAACTGCAATTGTAGTGGTAGTTTATCGTTAAGAAAGTAATGTTTCATTCGTAAGCAGCCGCTGAACAAGTGGACAAAAATTTAGTTAAGTGGGTTTAAAATATTAAAATAGTTCATATGTTTTGGGAAATATAGGCCAGTTGTTCTTTTTGCTCGACTTCCATGAAATGCAAAGACCAACCGCAATCCCAATGCAGACACAAGTTCGCATTTAATGCAATATCTCGTATTTAGTCCATTTAAGATTTAAGGCACTAACAGCAATAATGAGCTTGCAGGAAAAAAAGGCATGGATTCACCCTGTAATGGTCCATTCCCTCCATGAAATGTCTCCACAGGATTTGTGCACAGCAGTTTTCTGGGAAAATCTGACATTTTTCATGTTGGATGTGTTCCCCGTTTCTTGAGCGTTCGTCATTTCACTCATTTGTGGTGGATTAATTTCTTTAGGACACTGTCTCACAGGATTAGTTTAAGCCTATTCATTTAGGCTGAGCAGAACCTATCCGTGCGAAATGAACATTTTCCGCACTTTAGGTCGAGACCACATGAAATGTCTGTTTCTATCCAGTCACGGACACACGAGAACATAGTGTTGCAGTGCCGTCAAATGTTTAAAATCTGCTGAGCCATTTCCTTAAAAGAAAACACCTCTGTGTCCTCCTTTGCCCTTTTTCTTCTATGGTGCTTTGGACATGCCCCTACAAGAAGAACTTTTATTTCTGAGAGCTGTTTTCACATCAGAGGGCACTTTCTGTCACAGTGAGAATAAACCGTTTGACTTACTGTATAAACATAATTAAATTAGCCACACCAGTGTGTGCATATGTGTGTGTCCATGTGTGTGTGTGTCTGTGTTCGTGTCTCTTCTTCAAAGCTCTTTTATTTCCAGTTTAAAAAAAAGGAGAAGAAGAAGAAGAAGAAGGGGCACGTCTGTGGACAATATAAAGCAGACAAAGAGGGAAAAAATGAAAATCACTGGGTGCTTTGTTCTTCACTCTCTGCTCCAACCGAGCGCTCTCTAACCGCAGCTGAGCTTTTCCATGTTCTCTCTCTCTCTCTCTCTCTCTCTCTCTCTCTCTGGTTGTCATGGATAACTGGGTAACGTGGAGCTCACTGTGCTGACCAGCAGGACCACTGCCCTCCGCAGATTGAGCCTCCCTGCCCCCCACCCCACCCCGTCCTCCCATGGAGAGACAGAGCAGCCTTTAAGATTGACCCCCCGCCAGGTTCAGGAAGGTGGGGGGCTCTTGTCTCTGTGCCCTCCCCTTGTCCCCCCCTCCTCCCCTTCTGTCTCCCTCTGCCTCACCCTCCAACCTTCACCTCTCCCTCCCTATGAAATGAGTGCACGCCAGGAGACCCGTGTGTGCATTGCTTAATGTGTGTGTGTGTGTGTGTGCGTGCACGTGCATAGCTCCCCCAGTGTGACTGCCCCTGGCATGGAGAGGCAAAAGCCCTCGCTCAGTGGTTGGTCCCCCCTCCGCCCCTGTCCCCCCTCCTCGTTTCTGCCGGTAAATACAAAGAGTGGGAAAAAAGCCCACATTACAAGCTCCTTAAGGGTCAAGGACAGGCCCCAGTCTGAATAGCTTCTAAGAGTCGTATTGTTGAATCACATAGCTAGCGATTACACCCTCTGTCATCTCCGTGCGGATTTGGCTTTTTTATACACACAACAAGAGAACATCAAGTATCAGCTACTGAATAAGTCGGCCAACAGACATGCAGCGGGAATTGATACAGACAGGACATCAATGGAGTAAACCGGGGGCAGATGTAGAATTACAGACCCAAAAATGGGGATTTGGCTTAAAGATTTCATACCTTAACAGCAGTCTGTTTTACAGTGGTGTGGAATGTGAGAGCTCCGAGATCGTGGCGCAGAAAACGAGGTGCCAGAAGTTTGTGTGTTTTCATGAATATATTCTGTAAATGTTGCTGCGGTTTTACCAACTGTCATGGAAACCACTGGGAGTATGTACTTTCTTCTGACCGAAAGTGAAAGTATAAACACATTTTTAGAAAGGGCTCTGGGATTTTCACATTTTTTCGGTCTTACGTCGCAGTTTCGTAGTCCAGGGGAAGTCATAAAGGCAGCAGGGGCCAGGTGTGTTCCTCACATTATGGCTTCTTTTTGGACAGAATACTCTTTAAGAGTGATGAAATCTCTTTTTAAACCAGTTATTTTAACATTTGCATTAACTTTTAAAGCCACTGTGTGAGGGGCATACAAATTCCCTTCTTTGGCCTCACCTGGTGGTAGTATGAAGAATGGCACCATGACAGGGAGCAACTGGTTGGAAGGTTCTTGTCCTTGTTGCTTCTTAAACCTCAGGATGTTTAACTGGTTATGAAACAGTCTAATACTGATGCCTCTATATATTGGCTATCGGTACAGTTATTCCTAATGCCCGCCACAGGGTCGGATTCCCCTTGACATCAATGAAACAAGGTGGTAGAAACACTACCACTTTTGTCCACAGGGGCCACCAGAATCAACTCAGAATAAAGGTTTCTTGCTGTTGCTCTAAGTGGCTCTTCCTAGTTGTTCGGGGTCCTGGCACAGAAAGCACTAACGGACCAGTGTGTAGGATTCAGCTCAGCCTTCCAGGCATGTAGGAGACACTGCAGTGGCCGAGAAAAATGTGACAGTCCCAGAGCCAGTGTTTGGTTTTGGGACCATTAAAGGAGGACTTTTAGGAGAAATTTTGTGTAGTGTATAATCACTTGAAAATAAGAATTGCTGTGTTTTTGTTACCTTAGAATGAGTCATTTTTATCTACAGAGGGAGTGAGTCCACCATGTTGAATCACCATGTTTCTACAGTAGCCCAGAACAGACAAACCAAACATTGACTCTAGATAGGGCCTTTCTATTTTCCAAGTTGCATGACTTCTCCTCCTACTGAATGATAGAATCAGTGCTGACTGAAAAATACAGTAAAAGTTCAATTAAAAGCAGGGTCCCAAATAGACACGGGTCTCTTTTACTGGCCTGGTTTTTACCAAATAAACGCAGGTCTCAATTAGAGGCCTGGTCTGGATTTTATAGAGATTCTTTGGATGTATAAAACCTCCATTGGAACACCCACTAGAGTTGAGTTCTAAGCTGCAAGAATAAATGTAACCTTTGATCATGTTTTACTGCATTTGTTTGTGCAAAAGCCTTTCCCATACTGAGGCCTGTTCCAAATAAAAGCCTGGGCTATTAATTTAAGTTTAACAGTAAGTACTCTATATACCCTGCAGTACACCACTGGACATCAGGCATCAGGGTTTTGAAATACATAGTGATACAGGCTCATTACACCAACTGTAATGTCAGGACAGTGAAAGGACAACACGGTGCAGGATCTGAGCATCCTTAGCAGACCCATTACAAACAAAGTCTGCTGAGTGCACCGCCAGGGTCACACTGCTGAGAGCTGGCTGCAGGGTCTCCACATCAGCGTGAACCTGCAGAATAACTGCATGTGTTTAGTAAACTCTCTCGCCTTTTGTCTGTGGTGCACACACACACACACACACATTCTCCCTCACACCACCACACTATCCGTCTCACAGGTACCAAGGCCTGATATTCCTGAGGTGAGGAAGTAGCACAGTCTATTCTCCACGCCCTCACAAAGCGCTCCTCAACATCGGCCCATTGTGCTAGCTCGCTTGCCTGCCACTAGCGGGATAGAGTTCATGTTATATTTATGTAGCCTAA